ATTAGGGAGAGCAGAAACATAATCCGTGTTTCTGAAGCGAACGATTTTCTGGGTAAACACGGCACGCGAAAGGAATGGAGACGTTATTGGCGGCCGCCCGAGCTACTCGATGAACAAGAACACGTGATATTAACCTTCACTGACCAAGCGTTTCATAATATGTGCACATTGCTGAGAACTTCGTAGCTAATCCATGCTGAATTTCAGGCGCTACGTCATTTTTTGTCACCTTGTTAAGTTACTTGCCTCATTTTTTCATGCAGTCAATTTAGCACGGTATGGTACGCGTACCGCATCTTGGTTATTCACGACTACAGCATTGAAATAAAGCATACTCAATTTTGAGTTGATTCGGCTATATATCATCGCCTCAGCTTCACACTATATTCATTACTAAAGAGTTTGTGAGTGATGTTGAATAATAATTATTAGCTCATCCGAACACATGTGACATGAGATATATGTCTATATAGAAAACAGTACAGAGGTCTATCTTTCTCATGCACGAGCTGCGGCGACTAGTATATAGGCGAGACCGCACTTCCTCTATGTGTGCGCATCAAGGAACATCTGGAAGGTAGAGATAAGTCACGCCCAACCACTCCTTTGAGCATTCATAGAATGCAAAAACGTGCGGGAGAAAATTTTGAAGTGAACATCGAAATCCTAGCGCAGGAGCCAAAAATATCAGCTGCAAGACTTTGGAGGCATTTTGGATTCACGAAAGAGTCCCCAAAATGAATCGCAAAGAGGGATGTCTCTCAATCACGCGGGAACTCCTTCCTTATCTGGGTCAGCTCTTCTTACCTAGCGAAGGCACCATCAGTGGTTTGTCTACTTAGTCAGACGGTCGTTTTCTCACGAAAGAAAGATCGACATAATCAAGGGGTGAGTATTTAGTCAGCAGTATCAGTGATCCAACAATGACTTAGTTTGTTTGTGGGGTTGAAAAGACGTTTGGTCGGGTAAATTGCTTTCGTTTCATCCATTTCAGGCTCTGAAGAAGGCGATACCGCCGAAGCGTCAGCCAGTAAATCTTTTAACAATCTCGTGGCTTAGGAAATATATCAATAATATATAGAAAATAATATTCAATTCACAATAACGGATATCCTTCATTGGCTTCTTAACCGACTACTTTCGCTTAGTTGAAGCAGCGTTGTAAGATTTTGTAGCAATGCAAAAGTGTCTATTTACAACATGTACAACACTGAGCTCAACAGCGGAACGATTTGCTGTCGAAGCAAAGCATTTGAGCGAACCGTAAGCCATATCAGTGAGAGTTCAATCATCGATCTACGACCTTCACATTTCTCTAGCTGAATTGATAAACTCACCAGTTGGTAAGTCACAATAGATATGAAGAGTACTCCTATGTTCTGTGTAATTATTTGTAGCAATATTATCAAAGGGATAAATAGCACTATGGATATATTCAACATACAGTGGAACAAACCCTAAAGTTGCATTTAGAACCTAGCATGTTTATAACTGAAGAAACGATCAGTAAACAATTTTAAATACATACTGCGCACTGCCAAATACATCTATTAAGCGCAAAATATTTTTTAATGGACATTTTATTTATCTATTCA